CATTTTGGTCCTCCTCCTGCCCGCCCTGCCCGAACGCGGGGTCGGAAGCAGAGGATGCTCTCCCCTACCTTCTCCTTCCTCCTTGAAGGACTTGGGCTGGGAGACGGTGAAGCACTGCATCACCTCGTAGCGCTGACGAGCCTCCTGGTTCTCCGCACCCGGCTCGTCGGGCGGCCGGATCAGCATCCTGCAGCTGAAGGTATGGCTGTTGCGCCTGGTCGCTTCTTGAGGCCAAGGAACTCCATTTACTGGAGAAAGGAGGAGAAGAGGGGTTGTTAGGAGCTGCGCTGTGCACACTTCTCCCCCCCCGACTTCCCGAGGACCCCTCGGATAAGGGGACAGAAGGAAAAGCGCCGGCATGGGGGAAGAAACCAGCTCGCTGCCCAGGTCAGGGGCGAGCCGAGAGCGGAGCCGGGGGCAGAGCCCTCCCCGTCAGTCCCCGGGGCTCCTTCGGACCTGCTGAAGACCCCGTGCCCAGACCCACGCTGCCAGCCAGCCCTAAGAGCACCTACAACCCCAACTGAGATCAGCACAGGTCGTCAGGAGAGTCATCGCAGGAATTGCTCCTGACATCGCTGGTAGGTTCTCTCACCTCCATCTTATGGGCAGGGAAACTGAGGCACGGGGTCTCTGAGTCACTTCCGGAGCTTGGGAAGACTCCTGCCTCTTGCTGGTGTACTTGAAATGCCCCCAAAATGACGCTCCCGGGACTTCTCCAGCAAGTCCAGCTGAGCATCTCCATAGAAATTAATTTTTTCCTGGCTTCCTCCCCATTTCTGGGGTAAGTCAGCAGCGAGACCTTCTGGTACCGCACCAGTGAAAACCTTCCCCTTTGATTTTTTTTTTCTGTAACTTGGCTTTTTCCAAAAACCTCTGGGCACCAGTTGAAAGATTTTGCTAACCCTCTACAACATCTCCGTGGATATCCGTAAGCAACCCGAGTGATTTTGCCACCAGCAGATTATCAAGTTTTCATGCAACCTGATCTACGAGAAGAGCTGAGGGGCTTGTAACATCCAAGGAAAGACAAAATACGCAGCCTTACACTGGGTAACCGCCGGGAAAAGACGATGCCTGAACCTCTACAGGCTCAATCTGCTGAGTGCCCGTAGATTTCAGTGGTTAAGATGTATTTACCCAGAAGGAAGACAAGCGTGAATTAAAAAAAAAAAAACCACCGCAACGTATTTTTAAGTCAAGCTACTTGGAAAAGGCTCATCGTCCTTTGTGTTTCTTCACAGATGTGAGTGGATGTGGATGAGGGATCAGTGATGTCACACCCATGTCAGCCACCCGGGGATGCTCGTCTCCAGTCAAGGAATAAAACCTTCTGCTTCGGTTGCTTCCAACACCCCACAAGTGCCTTCACCACGTGATGTTTCCTCCCACCCTCACAACCCTTCGTTCTCCCGGTGTAGGGACCACCATGACCCAAGGACCCCAAGGTGCAGCACATCTCCACGCTTGATACTTGGGCTCTGAAACCAGCTGGGGACAACCCCCCTCCAGCTGGGAGGACATCCTAAATGAACCGGGAAAAGCCAATGGGCTCAGTCCCCCAAATCAACACCTCAAAATCCTCCTCCTCGTTTCCCTAAAGCTCGACGTGTGGCCCTCGCTTTGGGCAGACGACTCGGTTCTTCCCACCCAACGAGCCAAAGTCGAATGCAAAAGTTTTCTTAGTTGAGAAAGACAAAGGGAAGATGACTTGAATTTTGTCGTCCACCAGTGATTTACTCAGAAATCTGATACTGATTTTTCACTGGTAGGATGTATTTATTTCACTAGGAAAAGGTTTATGGATCATCACCTGGCTTGGGTATATCTCTGAATTTCACAGTGAACAATATAAAAAATAATAATAGCTATAAATAATATATATAAACCCCAATATAAGTCCAGCATCACCGAAGACACAACAGCATTTTCAACAGCACTGTCCAAGAACCAGCTGATAAAAAACCCCCCACCTCAAGGGTTTTCTTACCTAGAGACTTCGGCAACAAGTTCTTGACGAACTCGGCGTGATCCCCCACGTGCAGGATGCTGTAGACACTGGTGTTCATGAGCTCCTCCTGGTTGTAACCCAGGTAGCTGGTCACGTTCTCGGAGACGAAGACGATCCTCCCTTCGCGGTTCACAACGAAGAAGAAGCCGTCCAACGCCTGTAAGTGGAATAAACCCGGGCAGTGTCCATGGCAGCGGGGCCCGGAGCGGGTCAGGATGCTCCTTGACCACGGGCAACCTTCCTCCGCCTCTCGCACCTTGGCTTCAGCCCCACTCGGCGTTACAGCAGTGAGCCACCAACAGCACATTCCCTTAAAGACATACTCAGGTCTGCAACCTCCTCCGTGACTGATGTCCCTGCCACTGAGGACGGTGCCAACGGAGGAGAAACAATCCTCTTCCGAGGGCCAGAGCAGTCAGGAAGACTCGAATTTGGCAAGCTGCTGAAATTAAGCATATGTCCGATTTGCTTAATTACAGCCCCAAAATGACAATCTTTGCATCGTGCAGAGTAACAGGTTTTTTCATGCATTTAGGATGCAAGTGGCAAATTCAGCTCTGGAATCGAATGGAGGAGGGCAAGCACGACCCGGACCCAATCGTGCAACGCGGGGAGATCTTCTGCCTGTTTTAACGAGGACACCATCAAGGTTTTTAATTCACTGCCATGGCACAGGGGGTACGTCAGAGCTGCAGAGGCCGGTGCTTGTATAAGGAGCCCTTCAGGAGGCTGATGGCTTTTCCAAGCGTGCATCACCTAAAATGTTTCATCCAGGCAGGATTTGGTTTTCCTGGAGCGTCCTTCCTACCTGTACTGCTCATCAACAGCAAGCTCTGGTGGACCGGGATCCTGCAACTAGATCTGGCCATGTCCCGGAGCGGGAGATGGTGCAGGGACAGGAGAAACTCGTGATGCCCAAAAATTGGTACCCGCGGCATCGCCCTCTCCTCCCCGTCCTCCCGCCCCCGTGCCAGCAGAGAGTTCCTCTGACGGGGAGCAGGCTTTATTTAATACAGTTTCTAAAAATCAGGTTTTGCTGTAGAGCAACATTAAGTGCAAGAAACAGGAAGTATTTAAAAAAGGAAAAAAAAAAAAAAAAAGAGAGAGAAAGAAATCTTTTGTCAAAATGGTTCTGGCAGATCGGCTGCAATTTCCCTTATTCCCTGCTGTTGCCAAGACAACCAGCCTTTGCACTTCGGGCACCCAAAAAAAAAAAAAAAAAAATACCAGGCTGGACGGGAAACACCA